ATTCGAATAAAGATCACTGTCATCTAATCTATATGGATCGGATTTAATTATATCTTCAAATACAGACTCTGCTGCCAAATAATCTGAAATAATCAAAACATAATTCATATATAAGTAAGATATTTCGATTAATGAGTTAAAATCAGCGTAAATAATACGATACCCCTATTATTGTAATATGTAATTGCTGTTTGTGTCTGTAAAAATTTATTTTCTGCAAATTTATGTTGAACTTCATTAATTAATTCAAAACATTTGGAAGATTCCAATAATTCTACAGATAAATAAATTTTAAAAAATCTTGACATAAAAGTATCTGGAAGTAACACCAGTATATCTTCCATCTATGGAAATAGAAGTCAACGTATGAATAATTAATCAAATATGCAACAAAATTGCTGTGTTCATTTATAGTACCATATCTTTATTTGTTATGCAGTTAGCCAACTCTAACCAAGCGCTCCAATTGTAATGATATTTGAGTACAGAGTCTAAGAAGATATCTTTAATATTCTTCGCTTGTGGATTTTTCTGTTTGAGAATAAGACCATATCTATGTAAAATCAGAAGATTATGTTTATCAACAGCCGCAAAATTGAGTTTTCTTGCACACATGAGTTGTCACACAGATAAATTTCGTTCTGAAACTATGTGTATCGTAGGTATGTCATAATATCATTTGATTATTAATCATTATACATCCATAAGCAATGTATCATTTGTATGTTGATGTTATTAATATTTAGGAAATTACTATAGCTCGAAAGGTGAACATGAAAAGGCAATATCATATTTTCGACGAGCATTACAAGTTAATAGGAATTGTTTGGCCGCCTGGACATTGATGGGACATGAATATGTTGAACTGAAAAACACTCATGCGGCTGTCGTTTCATATAAACGAGCAGTGGGTAAATTAAATTTCATTACACTATTTTGTCTAATTTTCATAAATAGAATAAATATACTTTATTTCTTTTATAAAACCAGAGATCAATCCCAAAGATTATCGAGCATGGTGCGGTCTTGGACAAACTTATGAAATGTTGAAAATGCCTTATTATGCGATCTATTATTATCAACGGTCTTCAGCTTTGAGGTAAGCCTAGATAATAATTAGAAAATTTATTAGTTTACACGTAGTGTTTATACACGGGTATAATTTATTGATTTACAAATTCGTGTAACATGCAATTAAAACAATTTGACAAACGAAAAATTAAACCTCGCTTATGGTTAGGGTAAGGGTGGGTTTGGATTGTCAAGGTATAGCTTTATACCAAAATTTCAGAAGGAATTTTTTTTGTTAGAAACCAAAAGGGTGGTTTCATAATCAGAATTTTGAGATATCTATATTGCCCGTGTAAACATACACCCGGTGTACAAATAGAAATTCTCTAATAATTATATTCGTAAAAATTTATATCGGTAACTATTACTGTTTTTTTTTTTTTATTTAGGCCATATGATGCTAGGATGTGGTTACGTTTAGGAGCCCTTTATGAGCAACTTTCGGTTCCACACGAATCTATAAAGGCTTATAAAAGAGCGCTGCAATGTACCGATATCGATTCTAATTCGAAACTTCAAGCCACATTAAAGCTGGACACTTTGTGCTCCGATAATGACAAGTAGGGATGGGATCGGCTTAAGCAAGCTCTGCTCGAGTAAGTTAGCTTAAGCTGGCACATTGTCGACAGCTGTTTTCGAATGATTTTTCGGCTGATGTAATAAAGTTATTTTTGTATTAGTAATGATTTTTTTGACAGATCGTTATAGCAATAATATCAATGTTATCAAATTTTTTTCGTTTGAATGCTAGTCTGACATGTTTGGTGTGTTTGGCATGTGCGTTCTTGTCAACTAATGAATCTTGACAAGAAATATAAAAAGCTCCAAATAAAAAGAAATTTTTATAACATATTACACGAATAGGTGTTAATGTTGACAAGTTAACCATATTTTATATCGTTTATGTTTAATAAACATAGTTTTCTAAAAGCGACGGAAGTTTTTCAATA